AACCCATGATCTCCCAGATGATGAGCGTTTTTTTTTTGCGTGTGACTTACTTTAACAGTTCAAATTACATGCTGCCCCCTCTTCCTGGAGGCAAAAAAATATATATATACTCAATAACGATTATAACATTGGTGGTTGATAATTGGATGAATTCGATTGTTTCCTTAGAAGCAGAATATTTTAAACAGGAGAAAGACATCAAATCCGTTTTCAATGTTCCATGTATTAACTAGTGATATTTCTTTCAACAAAAATACGGGTTTATGGCTAAGTCGTTCTGTGCAATTGTGACATTACCGGACATGCGAGATTGACTTTTTTCTCAGTGGCTTATAGTATTTTCATTAAAGTTGCTATCTCCTTGTAAACTTACCAAACCTTTGTATCTTGTTGTTTTATTAACAGATGACATGCCGGGCGAGCAATGTACCTTCATCAGTACCACCAGTGACCAATACAGGGTTGTCACGGTAGTAGACGAAAATGGCAACTATGAGAGCAACGTTTCGTGTAAAATTTCATTTCGAACTGACGAGAGTAAAAAATTCTTTCTGCGCGTGACAAGAATGGACATGGAATTCTCTAACCAATGTGTGAATGATTCGTTGCGTATATACGATGGCACCTTGGATAACGACAGGTCACTGACCGGTACTGCATACGGAATATGCGGGCGTTCATTATCGTTACCAAACTATTTCCATTCTACCGGAAACGCTGTAAGCGTCCAGTTTGTGACGGATAATGCTAACAATAACGGAGAAGGCTTCGACATCTTAGTTACGGCGTATAAACCAGTGGGCAGTACAGGTGAGTTCATGTATCCACGGCCTGTAGGAAATATATGCAAACCATATGTTCCGGGTACGTGTCCCTGGAATACAAATATTTTTTAGTGCTGGGTATTTTGTTCATCCCCCTGTTTTACATATGTTTGTATTGAAGCGAATCATGTAACCATCGAACGCGTTTAAATCCAAATCGACAGATTTTATGAGAAAAGTGTTAATAATTGGGTGGTAATGTACAAATATTGTCATAAGACAAAAAGGTCGAACTAACTCGCCGGTTTAAAAAAAAATGACAAGTTACACACATTAACTTCTTGACTCTGGCATGAAAACTTCGCACTACTTCGTACCAGAAAGTAACCAGTCGTTTGAACTAGTTTTATCAACGGAAAATCTGCCAATCCTGGAGATTGCATCAGAGAACTAGCTTCTGTGTTATAAACACTAATAGTATGTACTTTTCCCACGTTAGTAAGTATACCGGTTATTTAACTGGAAATGGACCTTTCATCGCGTACGTATTCCGATGCCGCTGATGACTCTGTGTATTATTTTATTTGACAGAAGAGTGTGAAGATGTGGATGGGTTCCTATGTCTTGATGGCAGCAAGTGTATGAGCAAAAATGTATACTGCAATGGCCATTCCCAATGTTCAGAAGGCAGCGATGAACCGACCACTTGCAGCAACGTCTCGGGTGAGTACAAGTTGTTGTTAGTATAATTTACTACGGCAGTTTGGATAACAGACAGCTTTTTGTGTTATCGTCGCAACACGTATTTCTATTACATATTCTCGTTTATTGGTGTCTGAAACTTTATCCGAAAACGATATTGGCTAAGCCAATTTTACACTAATTATCTTTTTAAAGGGCGGTGGTTGTCGCGTCGCGTCATGTTCGATATTTGACTCACAGTGACGTATATAACACGAGTAAAATACATTGTTTGTTTACATGAAATTCGAACACGCGCTGCGCGACGGCCACCGCCTTTCAATGTTAATGGGCGGCAGTGTAGTCGTCACGCCGCGTCCTGTTCGATATGGGACTCATAACGACGTATACAATGCGTGTAAAATACATAGTTTATATTTACATGAAATTCGAACACGCGCTGCGCGACGACCTCCGCCCTTCAATGTTAACACATAGCTTTAATGTACAACATGGTGAGGTCAATATTTGACGTGTGAACATGATAGCGTGAGGAGTTTACTGGAACAAATTGCATTTTCTGAAAAAACATCTTCTCTGACACCATTGATCGATTTCATTTGTCACGTGACACTGTGATGAACCACTATATCGCCGATATACGTGCACACCTCTGGCTATATTCAACTTTCTAGACTGTGTCAACTACCGATTCAAAGATCTTGGTTTTTAGTTTTATTTTCAATAATTTCTTATTTATTTCTATGCAAGAACATTAATTAATCTTCGCAACATTTTGAATATATGCTTTAAAAGAAGTTGTGTGGTGACGTTGATTTGGGTGGACGTTTTGGCAGTGCTCAAAACAATGGTATAGCAACATTGCGCATGGTCCGAGGTAAGACCAAATCGTGTAAATCTAACAACAATAAACTTATTTTTTGTTTTGTTACTTTTTAGGTCGTGCCAGTATCAGCTCGTTTCTTCTCGCTTTCACTGTATCTATGACGACTATTCTGTTTGCGTCTACTAAACATATGACACATTCACAATGAGAACACCATTTAACCGCCCATCTTGCCAAGCTGTTTCCATGTGAACAAAGCGAAGGAAGCTTGAAATCAAAACTCTTTTTATCAAGTATCTATAATCGCAATATGTGTACTTGTATAAAACAGAAGACATCTCTAGATCACGTACATTAAAACACGTGTTAATAAATCCTGCCAACGGTGACGTCGACAACGCTTGTATGGGTGCACCCGCCATCTACAAATGCCGCGTTTCTTTCAGTTTCCGCCATTTTAGTACATGTAATCATCATTTTTTTTAGCTCCATGATGTAATTGACTAGCCTTGGTCATACCGAAACATCTATTGGTGTCCCCTGGTATAGACAGACACCGAATGATAAACTATTCGCGGGATGGATATCACGAGATACCTGACGATGTTCCTGAAATAGCGCCCTGAACTTTATAATACCAATTCTTCCATCAACAACCGCATAGCACATTTATGTAGATCTAATTAGTGGTTCGAGACCTGAAATACTTATTCGTTTATAACCGTGATTCAACCACATTTAACACAATCTCACAGTTCATAGATTTAGCGTTTATTTTGCATGCGTGTTTTCTTGCCATTAACTTCAACGGATTTGCATAGAACATTACTTGCAGTGTACGTACACTGTACACTGTTAAACATATTTTGATTGTTTTAATGCATATCGATAATGAACCATGTATAAAGCGGGAGGGTCCTCACCTGCGCACGCGCGGGAATTGAGGCCCAAGCGACGATAACAACACACGCTAAAAACGCAAAAGCTCATGGGTAGACGATTGTTTTATAAACAATGACACGCTATGATAATCTGACGCATGCGCAGGTGACGACTCCCCCGCTTTAATGTTTGTATTTTTTTTAAATGTGTTCAAACAGGGAAACGATATTGTTATGGAATAAATGTATTTGTTATATTTTACATTGGCTCAGACTATATGTGGCTGGTATTCAGGCACAGGAATTGTTCACTCTTTCAGAAACAAAACTTACAACATTATACGTATGTCTTTGAAGTCCATCTTCCAATCCGCCGATTTATCCTTGTAGTGCAAGTTGTTTTGTCAGCGTACGTATAATTTGTTATATATTTGTTATAAATTTGTGTTCATGGATTAGTACATTTATTTTAAATATGTATTTAGAAATCTATAGAAGACGATGTTATCACTGTTATTTATTTTGACGCCAAAACTATTTACCTTTCAACTTGCTTACAAATACCGGGTATAAAATAAAACAAACTACCTGTATAGTACGCACGTATTTCATATTAATCATATCATATTTGACTATTTTTATCCTACCATATTAGGAATAATAATAAAAACAAACATGGCTGCCATCAGGGTTTGACCGGAGTCCACACAAAGAAGTTCGCGGATTCTAAACATTTTCGATTTCGGCATTCTCATGATGTATTCTTGGGTGGAAAGGATGTATAATAATAAGGTTATTACGAGGATACCTCAAAGTATGCACTCAGACAGTAGCCCGATACATGTCATTACGCATTTTAAATAATATTCTAATCAACAAACGTGGTAGCTTGCAGTGAGACACTCATACCACGTGCACGTATTTAAGATTGGATTCGAATCAATATACGCGGCAGATTGCGGCGTGTAACCGCGTTACCTATTGTTACCTATTTTTTAACATCTTGATTTCTGTTTTGATCAAAGTGATTAAAATCGGATATTATATTGTATGCCGCGTTTTTTTCAAAATTTCATAGTTAATTTTATTCCATGAAAGTCATTGTTGTTGTTTTTCATTACGTACTATTTTGTGATCTATCGCCAAACACGGACTTTAACGATTAAAAATAAAATACCATGTATGAAAAACAATTAAATATGTATTCAAATAAATTCAATTCAATAAAATTCAACAAAGAAGCGCTGAAACTAGGATTTTATTTTAATCAGATTCAAGTAGCATTTTGTGATTGCAGTTGTATGATGACGTAAATAAATGAAGTAACTTTCACCGTGACCGAGATTATTATATCTCAATAATTTCCGCGTAATGAAATACAGGGATTGGGTTCTATAGGGTTCAAGGGTCAATTTGAAGTAATTTTGATCGATGTTTAATTTGTCATTTTCTGGAGTTACAGTGATCACCTGTGATCGTGATTATACGTACTATATAACGTGTTCTCTTCATTGAAATATATGAAGGAAAAATACACAGTCATAATACCAAATATTTCGAACGAGGCTAATATTATATTTTTAAACTTTTCAAAATTTCATCCATAGCTCAGTCTCAGAAGAAACAATTAGGTATGCGTATTATTGGTTGTACGACCATAGAATCGTGAACAATGCTGTATGTCATTATTCAACGGCACTGTATGACGTCATAATACCAATAACCATCCTCAATAAATTGAAAAGTTGTAAGCATTGCCTCTTGAATGGATCACGTATATTTGTAATTGTATTTAGTAGTGGCAACTACACAATGCTTCAACTAAAGAAATTGAAAAGACCAAGTAGCAACAAGGTTCCATGAATTTGGATATAAAATCGTGCACATTTTAGGGGTGGGCACTTGTCTAGTGGTTGCTAATACGGTTGTAATATACTCTCGAAGATCTGTCAAATAAATAAGTGTAATAAACCTATGTTGTTTTTATTATGTAAAATAAAAAAAAACGCGATTCAATAGGTCCTTTCAAATCTGATAATAGCGTAATGCATGATGTAAGCTTGCGGAGTTAACAAAGCTGTGTACCATGTGAACAACTGGGCGGGCCATGCGAATTACATTACCCATGACGCACTGGTGCAATCCCTGGGATTGCGGAGCCACGCTTTAATTTCTTAAAACCTAATACCTTATTAAAGTGTTAAAGGGTGATGATAGTTGTGCCAACCATGCGTGAGATATTGGTCCCATATTAACAAAAATGGCATCTTTTATCTGTAGGTAAACGTAACCTGTTTCAACATTGCCTAGCACATGTTAAGCAATATTTGTTGGTGTTGATATTTACATAAAGATCTACTGTAAATTTTAGGAGTGATAGTATTGGAAACAGATTGAATATGTACAAACAGAGACACTACAAAGATTTAACTAGGTAAGACTTGGATGGTTGCATAAAATTAGTATTAGTATATCAAATCCAAAAACTGACAACATTGTTTGCCATAAACAATCGTCAATACGTTTTCATGTCGCTTGTCATTGTCCATGGATCACTCTAGATATACATGGGGAATCAAACCCCATACAGATGGAATACAAATCTCAAAACTGGATTACTCAGCTTCAGCTGAGCTATAACATGATTAATAACAACTTCATGCTGTGATGAGAAGAGCATATTGTGTGGTTTCACGATGAGGTTGACCAAACATATTTACAGCTCATGCTTGTGCATCACTGCATCAACTCAGTGACATGTAACAAAGTGTCACTGGGTAATTAGATCCCTGCTGAAATAATCTTTTAAGTTCTGGAATATACACACTTTCAGAATATGCTGCAATATAAATGTTTAGATGCTTTTTCTTTCATTATAAATATTTGGTTTATCTGGATTTTACCTTATTATTATTTCTAGATTCACTTGTCCAAGACATTTCGGTAATGATTTTAGAGAATCAATCTTATGACAAGGTAGAACTGACTGCTAACACAAGACTGTGTAGAAATGTGGGAATGGTATTTAGTTGGTCGAATGCTGTTCGAACATCTGTGAAAATTGTTGAATTAGAGATACACTTGTAGAGGACGATTGAAAAAAAAAGTGTTTTTAATGTAATAAACTACGCTTTACAAATTAATATATATTGCTTTGTCGTTTGAAATCTGAAAATTCAAAACTATAAAAATGGGCATAGTTGGTGTACCAACACATGTGTATACGTCATAACATTGCCTGAGTAGTTTTAGGGATTGTTCATTGTCTACCTGTCAAAAAAATCATTTAATGCTCTATTTCAAATTTCATCTTGGAAACATCTATTCATTGACTGGAATTCGGTATGTACTGGAATTTGATTTATTCAATTTGTGACAAAAACTATAATCAACCCAATTACTTTGATACTTGGTATGTAGGATACTTGCATTATCATTAATTCTCAAATTTCAGTGAATATGTTTGTATCTACTATCCTTTTATATGTGCATAATTTTTAATATATTACCAACCACTGATCAATTGTATGACACTCGTCAACATGAAGTGCAACTACTTTACAGGTGAATCTTTCGTTGTCTAATAATGTTTTGCTTAATTTTATGGAAATTTTATTGCCACTGGGTGAGATATATTTACTTCTAATTTTCCTGCTATTATATCTTCTAATGAAGCATTTGATTCACATTTCTGTAGAAAAAAATACTTATTAATACTCACTTTAAGTTACATATTTTTTTATTTTTATATTTTTTTTTATTTTTAAGCATGATCATCATAAATTTTCACATAAATATAGTTTGTTTGTTTTTTTCACATAAACATATTAAAATAAATCCAGAAATATATTCATTTAAGGGTTTCATGTACACATTTTCACAATTAAACTACACCAAATTGTACATATACATGAGGGTATTGCACATTTCCACAAACTGATCTTTCCGTATAATATTTAAAGGCGCAACAACAATCGTTACATAATTTTCACTTTGGTTCGGTTACTGTTACTGGTTACTATGTCAATCTATATTCTGATTCAAAAATCGTATAGTTACAAGAGTAATGTTGAAAGTGTATTGTTCCAAACATTATCTAAGTTTGGGTTGCCAATATTTATTCCTGGGCCGACCGGGACGGTAGTACAAGTGCTATGTTTGTATGATCGTATAACATTCCTACAGTACAGTTGATGTCTTACGTATTTCCGTATAGACACGCCCATAACACTACGCACATGCGTAAACGGCACACCGCTATAATTTGACTTATAGGCAGTGCAGTACTGCATCATACCACGTCGCCTGATTGACAATTGACAAGTCTTACCTGGAAGATACCCACTCAGTCTTTGCATTGCCTGGTCGATACTCTCTCTGAATATACCAATGACAACTGATCTATTAAACTCACTATTATTGTACATGCTGTTAACAAAAAGTATATTTATAATAATAAGCTAGAAAAAGAATATGGGGACTGATTGTGGCAATCCTTTCTGGAATATATGTGTCCTGGGTGAGATGACATGTGTTGACTTTTTTTTATTTTATTTTATTATAATGCAATATCGACTATTCGAAGACGCTCACTAGGTTGTCTGAATATTAGCTTTTTTGGAGAGCTGGGGTGGACATTTGCAATGGCTTGCCACAAATTCACGAACTGATTTGGGTTTCCATGGATACACTATATTATCTAAATATTAGATGATATAACTAAAGTTAAAAATAAGACTTATTTAAAATGTCAGTGAAAATGAAAATACAATGTAATAGTTAAAACGAATTTAAAATGAAAGAGGAAGTTCGAATTGAAACTAACTTTAATTGTAAAAGAAAACGAAAGTTACAAGAAAAATCTATAACTTTGCTTCGTATTTGTTGTAAATGCTGTGAGATGGCACAGTAATTCACCGCGATAAAGGACATAACAAATCAAAATTCAACTGAGGGGATTTGTGCGATTACACCGTTATCTCAGGTTATCTTACGTTATCTCAGGTTATCTTACGTTATCGTACGTCCTTAGCCAATACTGCTCGTACAATAATAATAACAGCTGGCAGGGAAAATTCCTGATACACTTTCTCAAGTGCTTCCTTGAACGTTTGACTAACGTTTGTAAAAGAATATTTTTGTTTAACCAATTTCTCCAGATAGCAACAAAAATATGTAGATAAATATAAAAAAAAAACATGTTGCCGCCGTTAACTCCCCTTCGCAGTGAGTCTGCTGATCCATAAAACACGACTACAGCAC